TCAATATTCCTCCAGGTGTCTGGTTGAAGATGAGCTACATGGACGACAAGGCCCAGATGATGGTATCGAATGAGCTCCTCTATGTGGGTAGATAAGCGCAGGATGACATGGTGACATTTGTGATGAAGTCAGACCACCTAATCCCAAGAATGTGCATCTGGAAAGCCTCCAGCCGCTTGGTGTTGGACGCGAACAGTGTCTAGGTCTCTGAGCAATAGGGTGCAACTGATAGGGTGCAATAATTTTAGATGTGTGGCTTTTTTACGAGGCTGAGTCTCCCCTGCAGACAGATGTCGTTGACAGTGGCGAAGCAGGCCATGCCGATTCTTTGCCTGATCTCCGCGTCGCATCGATCAGAGGAGCAGAGCATACCGACGAGTTAGATCAATTTGTGGGCCCTCTCCAATATCTGCTGCTCTTTGTGCTGGAGTGTGCTGGTGGCTGTTGCACCCACCGAAAGGTTACACACCTTTCGTCTTGACCGTCGACAAATGGAGTCCAAACTCATGGTTGAAGGTTGCAAGTTCAAATCCCGATCAGGGGTTGAATTGACCCATTAATCACATGAAGTCAATAAAGTATTATTTTATGGGATTTCAAAAGTAGTTGTTCAATGGACTAACTGGCCTGACCATGGGAATGGAGAATGGTTAATTTCAGGGCCATCAATAAAGATTAATACAGCCCCAAAATATTTACATTTGAGCAGATAGTCACTTTGTCTTGACTAAAGGTCAAGCATGTATATATAGTGTGCATTACTTGCAGCGAAATGTTAGAATACATAACACATATATAGCACAATGCATTGGCTGGTAACGAGAGATAGAGGGTCACGAATGATCATATCTATCCCATGCGTCATTACCAGCAAAATGAAAAAGGCCAGTTCCGTCATCGCCTCCCCACTGGAGGGAAAATCTCAGCGCCCCATGCTGCGATCGTGCTCGCGTAATTTATTGACTCGCATAGGGCATAAACGACGTAGTGCCGGGTGACCGGGTGGCGTAGCAGTCGCCATGATCACCACGGAGCGCACACACACACACGTTCTGGTGCGCTATTGCATCTAGAGCACGAACAAGAGTCTTGTTCATCATAAAATGACAGTAGAGTTAAAACCAGGGCTGGAGAATGCAGCTGGGGGAAGGTAAAAGGTACAAGCGCGGCCCTGCAATTGCCTGCTCATGCCACTGGTGGTGGAAGTGTGCCCACTACAGGGAGCTCTAGAGAGCCCCTCTCGATGGTATTTGGCCTACTCTTTCACACTGGCCAAATGTCTTGGAGACTTTAACCCACCATACGCGACCTGCTGATCGATTCACTTGGGGGGGGGGGGGGGGGAAAGGGGTAGCCGTATAATTTTAAAAGCACAGTTTCAAAGTAAAACTTGTCTTTCCATGCATGTGGATGAATCGGCTGCTGTGAATGTTTACATTTCCATAGAAGGCGCCATTTTCTTCACGAACTGTTGACTTTCCAGGAAGAAAGGGAGATGGATTGGGAGCAGGGATTGAAAGAGTAACAAGTGGCTTGCGTGGCTGGCAGGCATGTAAACGATGCATCGATTCAATGGTGAAAATCGATTATCTCATGAAGCCTACGTGTTAAACTGCTTTGAATCACGCGTGTAAGAAGTGATGATCTGCAATTCGTGCAATTGTATATGCAAGTGATATGCTCCGGTTACATTTTTGAGTAATGGAGTAAACAAAACCGTGCAAAGGAGGCATGGCTATGAAGAAGAACCAAATTGCAACCGTGAATCATGACAAATCATAAAATCACCAGATGGCATGACTATTGACTGTTTGCGGTATATTGTTTGGTTCTTTCGGTAAAGTCACGTAGATAGAAAATAATAAAATTAAAATAATAAAAGTTAAAAAAATACACAAGCGGTCGTCATCAGGTGGAGAGAAAGCGGCATGTTTGAAATATATCGCTAAAGGGGGGTTATGTGATAGCGCCTATGCATATTTAGGTTGTAATTATTTGAAGTATTCACTTTGCTGTTACATTTATATTTCGTCACATTTTGATGTTTGCATGGTTGTATTTTTTTCTCTGCATGCTGAGATAATATATTTCCTACGATTGCACTCCACATCGCCCTGGCAAAAGAGGCTTTTGTCTCAAATGGCTCTCCCCCGGTTATAACGTTAATCTACATGATGTTATGACTGCAAGATAACAATACTAACACCATTGCCACAGAGCTGGATGATTGATTGAACCATACATTACTTCTGACAGCCGATAATTAATTTTCACCAGATGACAGCCCATTGCAATATTTTGTCACATTTGAAAATCAGGGATGGGTAATCAATGTTACACAATAATACAAATATGTTTAATCATTTATAGGTAGTAAAGTGGTTAACGAACCCGGAGACCCGAGTTCGATTCCCACTGACTGCCACCAAGAGTGACGATTATCTGAATCGGCCCTGGGCGCCCACTAGGTCGACTCAGCCTCAAATGAGTTCATAGTGTGGTGTGTAAACATCGCCACTGGGGAGACAAAGGCGGCCGGGCGTGATGCTGGCCACCCACCCCCTCGTGTGCCGTGTCGGCCTTCAAAGGTGCTCGCTTACAGCCCTTGACCCCAACAATCTGTTACGGCATCTCCCATTAGCATGGTTGGCTACGTACGGTGCGGAAGAAGTTCAACATCCATACCATACAATCCAATGCTGTGTCGGTCATTGATGCTGTTTGACCATACTTTACCATGATGGATAGCGTAGATGAGTGAAGGTGGTAAGCATCGATAGGAATCGGACTCAAGTGACCTGGTTCCTAGCCAAGTGCCCTACCCATAGGTACAGTTAATGCTGACGATCTATTGTGCAGATTTGTATTTTATTTTCTATCACCAACTGAATTTGAGCTATGACACCAGCACAACCACGAGCCTCGTGTGTGATGCGATTGATGATGTCACGAAACCTTCCATGACAACTTTGTATGGAAAGGTTTGATGCGCACAGCGTAAGCAGCAAACGTTCTATTTTGCATGAAAAATAAAAATAGGTTTTACCCTTTCTGGCAATAAAACAGCTGTTAAGATTTCGATTTAAAGCTTTCGTGACTGCAGGGATTCATCTTCTTGGTTCTTTCGGTAAAGTTACGTAGAAGGGAAATAATAAAATAAAAATAAATTAAACATAATAAAATACAATTCTCACGACGTTCCGGCCACAATGCAAGCAGCCGTCCTCAGGTGAAGAACAGGGCTCTCTCTTATTATTTGATTATTTCCCCTCTACGTGACTTTACCAAAAGAACCAAGAAGAAGCTGTTAAGATGTTCAAACATCAATTGGTTTATTGTAGAGCCTTGATGTGTTCCTCATTCACTGCAGTCCCAGGCTGCCCTTGACCCTGGGGTCATCTTCAAGAGTCTCTTCTGGCAAATTGGAACTCTGCAGGGAATCAAGTCTGCATTAACCACACACGCTACTCGTGGTGAACATGCAAACAAACATGCTCTGATAATATATGCATTGCCTTTGAAACTCGTTGGCCTACGCCAGAGACAACCTTCTGCATGGTTTATTCTCACCAGTGTTGGACCAGAGAACGCCAAAAGGCGAACAGTACAAAGCCAATGCACGTATCAGAGCATTTATAGCTCGGGGCGAGCAGGCATATCATGGGACCTTTTGCCAGTATCAAAGTAACATCTGAACACCTGTTTATTTTCCAAAAAGGGTAAAACCTGTTCTTATTTTTCATACTTTGATGCTGGCAAAACGGTCCCGTTCTATTTTTCACTGAAGTTGGTCCCAGGTTGTCATTGGGCTTTTTGCCTAATTTTATGTCACATCACACTCGTGTTCATTACATCCAGGTCCTCATTGCGAAAGCGGTACCATATTTCACAGCCCTTCCATGTGGCCCTGAATAACGAATTGTTTCAGCTGGAGCTGGCACGTAATGGATTTCAGACTCTGAATGCTCAATGCGTTAAGGCTTTAAATTCACACAGGGAGCCGTGAATGATCCAGATTCTCCGATCTCACCATCTCAACCAAGCAGGATGTACCATGAATGTCATGCCATTTAAAATTATATTAATGAAATAAGAAAGCAAAATAAATTGGGTTCAGGTGTTTTTATATAATTTAAACCTCAACATTAATGTCATAAGGTTTCCGTGCCATATAGTGAATAGATGATATATTACTACACTTACATTCAAAAGAGAAAAGCACCTTTAGTATATTGTACGAGTATGATTACTATATATATCCAGTTGGTATACACAATGTGTATGTATATGAAGTCATATAAAGCCATAAAAATAATGTGAAATGCCCAACAATAATTATGCAATAATGTATAAAAGCAAACGTCTTCAAAGTTAAACATTTCAATCAAAATTTCGATTTAAAGCTTTCGTGACTGAAGGGATTCATATTATTGGTTCTTTCTGTAAAGTGACGTAGAAGGGAAATAATAAAATAATACAAATAAAACAATACAATTCTCACGACGTTTCGATTGCAACACAAACAATTATCAAGTGTGAAAACCACAGCAAGAAAATTTGAAAAAAGTGGCGTTTTTTCTTAACGTTAGCACCACGTTTATTGTTTTATTGTTTTTCTATTTTATTATTTCCCTTTTACGTGACTTTACCGAAAGAACCAAGAATACATTTCAATCTCGTTAAATATTTGTCATCACCACAATCAGGCTACGACACATGCACAGCATGAACCTCATACCCATGAATGAATGAGAGAAAGAATGGGCGGATTTACGGATGAATGGCCTGATGAATGAATGGACAGGTCTCTGCACGTGAACTGGCAATTCAGAGTCCACATTCTCCCTTTAACCTGCATCACTCGCCACGTACACACACACACGCGCACAGAAAGAGCGCAAGTAAGAGTGAGCGAGGGTGAGTGGGAGGGAGCGCGTGGAGAGAGGGAGAGAAGACCCGACGCGATTGAGCCACTCATCGCCACAGCAGTGAGACGACCTCCGTGGTGGCGCGCGCGCGCGGTTTGGCCATGAACGTCAGCGGCACCGCGGCCAGAGCCAACGGCTCCTCGTCGCGCGGCGAGCGCAACGAGGCGCTGGCGAGAGCCGAGGTGGCGGTGCTGTTCGCCATGTTCGCATGCACCACACTTGGTAACTCGGTGCTGCTGACGGCGCTCTTCCGACGGCGCAAGCACGCGTCACGCATGCACGTGTTCATGGTGCACCTGTGCCTCGCCGACCTGGTGGTGGCTTTCTTCCAGGTGCTGCCGCAGCTCGCGTGGGACATCACCGACGTGTTCCTCGCGTCCGACTTCGCCTGCCGCTTCATCAAGTACATGCAGATCGTGGGCATGTTTGCCTCCACCTACATGATCGTGGGCATGACGGTGGACCGATACCAGGCGGTCTGCTTCCCCATGGTCACCTTCAAGAAGCGTATGGCTTACTGGAACGCGCCCGTGTGCGCCGTGTGGGTGGTCTCGCTGCTGCTCAGCGTGCCCCAGGCGGTCATCTTCGCCAAGGGGGAGGTCTACCCGGGCGTCTACGACTGCTGGGGGACATTCCAGCCGATGTGGGGCGTCAAGGCGTACATCACCTGGATGGCCATGGCCATATTTGTGGTGCCCACCGCCGTGCTCGTGTGGTGCCAGACCAAGATCTGCCGCGTCATCCGGCTGAACATCTACTTCAAGACGCCGCACGTGCACAAGGACACGCTGCTGCTGCGGCGGCGGCGGAAGCAGCGGCGGCGGCAGCAGAAGCGGCAAGAGGACGAGGAGGAGGTGGCGGCCCTGCACAGGGGTCAGACGCACGCTGTGACCATGACGCGGGTGAGCAGCGTGACCGGTGTCTCGAGGGCGATGGTGAAGACGGTGAAGATGACCCTGGTTATCGTGATCGTATACGTCCTCTGCTGGTCGCCGTTCTTCGTAGCGCAGCTATGGAGCGTGTGGGATCCCAATCCACCGTTCGAAGGTAAACTTCAACCCACCAGGGGCAGACTGGCTGCTGTCCAGCCTCGTTTGTTTTTGATGCTTAAGTTGTACGTCTCGTGCTTATATGCCTGGCTTTCGTCAAGCGCTGCTGTGGGTAGATAACACGCATCGAGAATGTGTTCCATCGCAATCACCAACGATTTAAGTCCATTATACTCAAACGGGTGACTCTAAAAACACTTGGCAGGCTAATATAATTCAACCATTTAAGTAACAGAGCGTTGCACGAACAGCATATTTGTTCATTCAAGTCATCGTCTGAGCATGATGCAGCCGTGAACTAGTGGTGGATATTCCGGATGAGTAATACAGAGGTAAGGCAATTCATAGCACAATCATACATTCGTTAACTGTTTGGGTATTTAAAAATAAATGTAATGTCTCTCCAGTGATAATATGGTTCTCTAGTTTATGATAACAGTAGTTATTTTATGGGTCTGGGTAAGAGCATATCATTGGCAATTTAAAGTGAGGGTTGCAAAGAATATAACACCATCTGCTCCGAAAAAAAGAATGTCAATACATCTGTTTCAGAACATATCCCTTAGACTACATACGATTATTATGTTAATAAGTAAAAACAATATCCCTGATTTTATAATCTGAACACCTTACACAGTAACATCTGCATGCAACAAAATAACACGCAAAGCCTCATATAGCAAATACTCGCTGTTGAAGCAAGGGCTGTTAGCGAGCTGCTATGAAGGCTGGCACAGCAAACGAGTTATGGTGGTGCGGACAGCATCACGCCCGATGGCTGCCTTGCTCTCCCAGTGCTGATGTTCAAACTTCACACCAGATGTGCACAAGGTTGAGTTGATTTGTCGTGGCCAGGAATTGAACTCGGATCACTATGTTCGATGTGCAGGTCAATAGCCACTGCGCTACCGCGTATTTTTAAATCCTTTATATTAAGTTCGCTTGCTTGCTTGCGTGCTTGCTTGCTTGCTTACGACCGTGCAAATCTTTCGGTCGTTTTTTAACCCACTTCCCGTGATCCAATCGAGCTGACATTTTGCACACAGACTCGTTGTGCGAGACAATTAATGTTCGTGAAATTTTTTCCCAAAAATTTTACACTGTTTAGGGAAAACAAATTAAATATTTAATTACCAATTGCTTAATGCTGGCAGACAATCATCTGACCCATAGGTGGCAGCCATCTCAAGCCAGAGGACGAGAGGACTCTAGCCGCCACGCATATAAAGGATTTAGAGTGAAAAACTTAGTTTTTACTGGTTATACTTATTATACACACACAGCAAGGCAACACAAGCTAGCACAGAGGTCGACAATCTTTCAAAGAAGCAGAGCTATTTTTTTCGTCTTTGACCAAAATAGTTCTAGAGCCGCATCACACGCAAAGCTACTCGTACACACAGACACAGAAGCAGGTATCCAGCGGATGACAAACACCTGACGTAAATGAACAAAATAGGTGATGGAATAAACTACGTCTATTTCGTCCCTCCACCCCACCTTAGCCATTCTTTAACAATACAACTTTAACAATACTTTTACAATAGCTTTAACAATACTGTTGTGCATTTTTGTTGTCACCAAGACATTCCATAGCGACCCATTCCCTGCCATTATCTTTATGCTAATTTGTGTTTTTAAAGATTTAAGTAAAAAAAAACGGCTGCCCGCAAGGGGGTAGCAAAAGAGCCTCAGGTTGCCGAACCCTGAGTCAGCAGAAACATCTCTGGGGAGAATCAACACGAACCCTGAGTCAGCAGAAACATCTCTGGGGAGCGTCAACACGAACCCTGAGCCAACAGAAACATCTCTGGAGGCCTCGACACGAACCCTGAGTCAGCAGAAACATCTCTGGCAAACCACAACATGAACCCTGAGCCAGCAGAAACATCTCTGGAGAGAATCAACACGAACCCTGAGTCAGCAGAAACATCTCTGAGGAGCCTCAACACGAACCCTGAGTCAGCAGAAACATCTCTGGGGGCCTCGACACGAACCCTGAGTCAGCAGAAACAACTCTGGAGGCCTCGACACGAACCCTGAGTCAGCAGAAACATCTCTGGCAAACCACAACATGAACCCTGAGCCAGCAGAAACATCTCTGGAGAGAATCAACACGAACCCTGAGTCAGCAGAAACATCTCTGAGGAGCCTCAACACGAACCCTGAGTCAGCAGAAACATCTCTGGGGGCCTCGACACGAACCCTGAGTCAGCAGAAACAACTCTGGAGGCCTCGACACGAACCCTGAGTCAGCAGAAACATCTCCTGGGAAGCCTCAACACGAACCCTGAGTCAGCAGAAACATCTTTGGAGGCCACAACACGGACCCTGAGTGAGCAGAAACATCTCTGAGGAGCCTCAACACGAACCCTGAGTCAGCAGAAACATCTCTAGGGAGCCACAACACGGACCCTGAGTCAGCAGAAACATCTCTGGGGAGAATCAACACGAACCCTGAGTCAGCAGAAACATCTCTGGGGGCCTCAACACGGACCCTGAGTCAGCAGAAACATCTCTTAGGAGCCTCAACACGAACCCTGAGTCAGCAGAAACATCTCTCGAAGCCATAACACGAACCCTGAGTCAGCAGAAACATCTCTGGGGAGCCTCAACACGAACCCTGAGTCAGCAGAAACATCTCCTTGGAAGCCATAACACGAACACTGAGTCAGCAGAAACATCTCTGGGGAGCCTCAACACGAACCCTGAGTCAGCAGAAACATCTCTTTGGAAGCCACAACACGAACCCTGAGTCAGCAGAAACATCTCTGAGGAGCCTCAACACGAACCCTGAGTCAGCAGAAACATCTCTGGAGGCCTCAACACGAACCCTGAGTCAGCAGAAACATCTCTGAGGAGCCTCAACACGAACCCTGAGTCAGCAGAAACATCTCTGGGATGCCTCGACACGAACCCTGAGTCAGCAGAAACATCTCTGGGGAGCCTCAACACGAACCCTGAGTCAGCAGAAACATCTCTGGAGGCCTCACCACGAACCCTGAGTCAGCAGAAACATCTCTGGGGAGCCTCAACACGAACCCTGAGTCAGCAGAAACATCTCTGGGATGCCTCGACACGAACCCTGAGTCAGCAGAAACATCTCTGGGGAGCCTCAACACGAACCCTGAGTCAGCAGAAACATCTCTGGGGAGCCACAACACGGACCCTGAGTCAGCAGAAACATCTCTGAGGAGCCTCAACACGGACCCTGAGTCAGCAGAAACATCTCTGGAGGCCTCGACACGAACCCTGAGTCAGCAGAAACATCTCTAGGGAGCCTCGACACGAACCCTGAGTCAGCAGAAACATCTATGGAGGCCTCAACACGAACCCTGAGTCAGCAGAAACATCTCTTAGGAGCCTCGACGCGAACCCTGAGTCAGCAGAAACATGTCTGTGAAGCCACAACACGGACCCTGAGTCAGCAGAAACATTTCTGGGGAGCCTCAACACGAACCCTGAGTCAGCAGAAACATATCTGGAGGCCTCGACACGAACCCTGAGTCAGCAGAAACATCTCTGGAGGCCACAACACGAACCCTGAGTCAGCAGAAACATTTCTGGAGGCCTCGACACGAACCCTGAGTCAGCAGAAACATCTCTGAGTAGCCTCAACCCGAACCCTGAGTCAGCAGAAACATCTCTGGAAGCCTCAACACGAACCCTGAGTCAGCAGAAACATCTCTGGGGAGCGTCAACACAAACCCTGAGTCAGCAGAAACATTTCTGGAGGCCTCGACACGAACCCTGAGTCAGCAGAAACATCTCTGAGGAGCCTCAACCCGAACCCTGAGTCAGCAGAAACATCTCTGGAAGCCTCAACACGAACCCTGAGTCAGCAGAACATCTCTGGGGAGCGTCAACACGAACCCTGAGTCAGCAGAAACATCTCTGAGGAGCCTCAACACGAACCCTGAGTCAGCAGAAACATCTGTGGGGAGCCAGAACACGAATATCCCAATTACTTGATGGTAAACTCTCTTGACTGGCCCTCATTAACATGACAATGTTATACTAATTCTAATCTAATTTAATATGTATTGAGTGCCTTTCACCTCTGCAATAGAAGATGGTATGTCTTACATTGTGCCAGACTTGGAAACATTTATTGTGCTGCTAATAATGAAATTATCCTGCCTGGTGGTTAGGTGACTGATGTACATATACACACTATGTTTAACATTGTAAATAGAAGAACATTTGAGCAAACAAAAATATATGAGCTAAGAAGACTATGCCATTGTATTTACTTTCCTATAAAAATGTCCAAGTGGTGGTTCACATTCTGAAGACTACGATTTCATAAAATCAAAGTTGAGGGTTCACTCAGCCTACCATCCTCCAGTGTCGATAAAAGGAGTACCACTTTGTGGGGAATTAAACAGTGGTTTTCCTATCGATAGACTCAACCCCGCCATAGGAATGTGGAATTCCCACCACTGGTTCAGGGCTGTAAACGGGAGATGAGCACCGCCTCAATGCCCATTTGAGCAGGACATCACTTTGATAAATTAAATTAAAAACAGCTGCAGGTAATTGGAATTCATATTCAATGTTTAAATGCTGTAGACAGTTCTTTTAAAGTTCGTTTGGTTATTTAATATGCTGTGAGGGCTTTGCCTAGCATATACATGCTTCACGATATAACCTGTACAGCGTTATTGCGGTGCTAACATCTATTAATAAACACAGCATCAGCCAGAACACAATTATCACATTCCAAGCATTGTTCGCAAACATATTCAATAATTATATGGCTGGACAGTCAATCAAAACAATGTTTTAATTATCATGGCAATAGAGGTCATGCTGCATACATATGTAGTGACGTAAACACTGTCACTATGGTGTTAGCGCCAGCCACTGTTCCAGGAGTGTGGCTGAGCGCCGGGAACCTCCGTAGGAGGCTTGAGGGACACGTGACAGGGAGCCGGGAGCTCCTGACTTTATAAAGAAGGGGGCGTGGCCGAGAAGGGGGCGTGGCCGAGAAGGGGGCGTGGCCGAGAAGGGGGCGTGGCCGAGAAGGGGGCGTGGCCGAGGCCAAGGGAATAAAGGGGGAGCCCCGAGAGGGATCGGGGCTCATTTGTGGGGATCGTCCTGGGGTCCTCGTTTCTTCGCTCTTTGCTCTTCGGTCGTCGGTTGAAGTCTTAGCTCAGCATCGTGGGTCAGGCAGCGTGTGTGCTGACTGGCCCGTATGCGATACCTGACTCGCATGCACATAGCGAACAGTATAGCCACACCTAGCTAGAGAACCCAAAGTGGTTAGAAAAATTATTAATAAACGTGTTGCCTCCACTATAGTGTGTGCACCTCTGTGCATCACACTACACTGGTGTCAGAAGTAGTCTATTAGTTAGGTGTTAACGAGGATAGCGATGTTAACTAGATGTAAAGTCCTCACCAAGTCGTCTTCGGACAAAGACGATGACGGGGTGATCCTACAGACGGCCCCGGGTGCTGGAGCCCCGGTGATGGAGTGTGGGGAAGTCCTGATGCCAGCGGAGCAGCGGGACCCGGAGCCCATTTCGCCGCTGCTGCCAGAGAAGGAATGCCGCTCCAAGAAGGAGTGCCTTGGCGACCTCCTGGCCGCCATCGCATATCTGGCTGCTGTTCTACAGGTGGAGGACGACGACAAAACGCCGATGCCGCGTCCGTGGACGTCTGTCGCTGCTTCCCGCATGCGGAAAACTGCTGAGGCGTGCAGTAACCTGCCAATTTTCAGAATGTGCGGGACGCGACTCCCGCCAAGACCGACCTTCCGCCAAAAGCACTACAAGCTGACCGTGGATTGAAAAAAACTCCCCTTCGTCCGGGAGTTCACGATTGCGGCCAGCGATTGGGAGGCTTTTCACCGTCACTTCTCCACCATCTGCAAGCTGGCGGGGTGGACGGAGGAGGAGGCGCTGCGGGCGTTCCCCACGACACTCAATGACGATGCGCTGGCAGCGTTCGACGCCATTCCCAATGACAAAAAGGAGATGCTGACACAAGCACTCGCGCAGATGGGGCCCATTTTCCCTCCACCGTCAACTAAGTGCCACTAGTTTGCCACGAGTAGGCGAGGGGAAGCCGAGACGCCCCTCGCCTATCGCATCACACTTCTGGCATTGGCGAAATCAGCATTTCCCGGGATGGACCAGGTGGGGCGGGATTCGTTGATCCTAGAAAAGATGCTGCTGTTTGCCCAAGAGCTTCAGGTCATCTTACCAGCCACGGAGGACGACAACCTGACTTCTCTCAAAGTTGCGCGGTGCCTCGAGGCCCATTTTAACATCCGTCAGCGTGCCAGCATGGTGGCGAGCACCAGACCATCCGTGGAGGAGGGAGCACCTGCAGGAGAGCAGCATTTACAAGCCGGTGTTTCCCGTCCCACTGCAAAGTAGGGGAGGTCCGAGGAAGACCACCAGGGTGGGCGAGGCCAGCCGAGGGGGGCTTTCCTACGCCAGAGGGACGGCCCGATCGTTTGCTACAAGTGCGGGCTGCCAGGACACATATCCATGGGGTGCCGTGCTCAACAGGGAGGACCCTCCACGTCAACGCCATCTGCAGATCATCACTTCTTTTCTCCGCTGGGTCCTCAGGCAAGTCGCGGCGCACCTCACACACAGCCCTCTGTTCCACCTCATGCATCGGTTGCACAGTCACGTGTCGCAGATTTTTGTCGGGGTCCGTAATGTGCCGATTGTGTCTTTGCGGGCAAGGGTTGTCCGTGAAGTCCCGCACAATTGACGGCTCTAGCACACCGTATTATCGCTGAGGCGGCGGGATCGTCCGCTATTAGTGGGACAATTGAGGGGGTAAAGGTGCGGATACTTGTTGATACAGGTGCGTTGGTGACAATCATTTCGGAATATTTTTTTATTGTTTGCTGCCAAAATTGCGTGCCATCTCACCTGTTTCCATCCCCTGCTTTGCCGCCAAGAACCGGGCCCATAAATTATTGGCCAGTTATCGGCTACGGTATGCATTGGTGACATTCGATTGACGGGCCCGGTTCTTGTTTCCAAATCCCTAGCCGTGCCATGCCTGCTAGGGACGGATTTTCTAGAAAAAATACCGCTAAAGATCCTTGTGGATCAGGGCTGCATAAAGTTGCCCAACCGTTGGGAAAGAACCATCTGAGGACCCAATAAAAACCATCACCTTGCCATACATAGCAGGGGTCACCAAAAATGTTTTCAAAATCATGAGCAAACACAAGATCCAGGTTTGATTTAACACAGTACGTAAAATTCGTGATTTGATCCTATCTGTGAAGGATGTAATCCCTGACATACAATACCCCGGCATCTACAAACTAAGCTGTGTCTGCGGCAGTAGTTACATCGGGGAAACGAAATGACATGTCTCGGACCGTGTTCGTGAACATAAGGCAGATCTGAAACATGGCATGACGAACACTTCGGCCGTGGTTGATCATTGTTTTAATGTGGTTGGCTCACACGGAATTGATTTCTCTCAGACGAAGGTACTTTGCAAGCCCACTGGCCATCAACAATGATTTATTCATGAAGCCATCCATATATACAAACATAGACACATTTTCAACCGAGATGACGGGTACAAACTCAGCAATCACTGGAAGGACGTTATCAACCAGTTTAAGTCAAAACTGGCTGTGATGTTCCCAGCCTACCACCGTCCGATGTTAGTTGTTATTTTCGGCTCTCTGATTTTTTTACATTAACAGATTACATTTCTCACGAACACAGCTACCTGTTGCAATGTTTCCATTTTTAACATTCTCCAATGCTCACCAGTATTTTTAACTCCTCACACAACCTTCTCCACTAATTCCGCCTGCTGGGGAGAGAGCTGAGGTGTGGAGCCCCGCTCTATCAACTGCGGGCCTAGACTACTATTTCTATAGCTTGCTCTATCCACTGTTGGCCTAGACTACTGGCTATAGCTTGCTCTATCCACTGCTGGCCTAGACTACCTCTAGTGCATCATGCCTATTGCATGCGTCGTAGTTTTTTGTTATTTACTTCGAACCTATCTACGTCGGCCAAAAGGTTGTGATTTTTCCTTACTCTCAGTGAGATAAAAACACACCTGTTATTTATATTTGACTTGATATTCGACGTATCATACACTTTAACAGATTTTGGGTTTATATACGTTAACATTTAAAGGTAACTGCATCTCAAGACGATGAAAAAATAAAAGGCTTTATCATTTCTAGAAATAATACAGGCGCCACTAAGATGTTTAAACACCAAATAGAAACCTATTGCAAGGTATCGAGTCTGCAGTAAACACACATACTTGTAGTAAAGCATGAAAACACATATGTATGTACATTTAACTTTTTTCGCACCATAGGTAGCCAACCATGCTAATCGGAGGTGCAGATATGGTTTGACAATGTATACATTATAATGTATGCATTGTCTTTGAAACTGATTGGCCTACACCAGAGACAGCCTCTTGTATATCTTTGTCCAAACAGTGCGAGGCTATAGTATGCCAAAAGGCTGTGCAGGAACATTGGGTATATTTCATAGAAAGGCAGCCAGTCAAAGGCAACGGACAAAAGGACGGTTTTGAACCTGGGCATGACAAGAGCTAAGGAGTCGACAGCATGGATGCCTAGAAGAGAATTCCACACCAGGGGGCCAGCAGATGAGAATGCTTGACCTCACGCTGAGCAATAGGTTGACTGGAAGCTGCTATGCAAAGCATTGGCTGCTGGAGTGGAGAATTCGTGGAAGGGTTTAGAGTGAGATGAGAGTGGAGATGGCAAGGGTATTAATTTAAATTTACTCTCTCATCTGTGGGGCGATTGCAGTAGATTATGGTGGTGAGATGGTATTGTTTATTTTGCAAATAAGGAGTCTGGTAGCAGCACTGAAACAACAGGTTTATATTTTAGTGCAATATGTGTACATTAATAAGTACTTACGAATGGCATTTGCCCCGTCACTGTATGAGGTGAATGTCAATGGGAATTATGATGTCGTTGCCCTTATACATGTGAAGGGCTTTAATAAAGACATACACCACTACGTGAGTTGAGGCGAGTCTTTATTTAACTCTTCCCTTACGGGACGGGTTCTATAATTGGTGTAATGTAACTACCCCTTTGTAACTCTGTGTAACACTATGTAACTCCCTAACACACGAGACTATTGAAGATCCCAACCTGACGACGTGACCCGACCCACCGAGTGTTACCCACAAAGACGACCTCTTTACTGTAGCACGCTGCCCTTTTATCCCCATAGCGGAGCCTTCCCCCCGCCCTCTGACTACGCCCTCCTTCTGATACTCCGCAGCAGCCTCGCTCCCCTGATTACCCGAATGACCGGATGTACCGGCATTATATATGTGTAGTGACATCGCGGATGTCACTGGCATGGCGTGCGATGTAGCGAAATCACGGGCACCACGAGAATGTGGGTGCAGTACCGGCCCTAGAGAAGCTCGGTGAGCGCTGATCGTTAGCGATGGATGGCACCACGCTTGGTGTGCAGTGCCGACCCCTACAGGATAGGGTGTGAGAGTGCCAGCCACGGGAATGGGTTACTAAGAGCCGTGGTACTCTGGTTGACCCCAGAGAACACGTGACCGGTTATGTCAACACAGGGCTCCCAGGTGGGGGCTAGGGGTGGTCACGTGTCAGGGCCCGAGATCCTGCTCGAGGGTTCTCGAAGGTGGTCGTGGCCAAGGGCGGAGCCAGCCACGCCGCAGAGGAGATTAGCCGGGTCCCCCAGAGGGACCTCCTGCTGTTGTTCATCCTGAAGAAACCTTAGTCAACCTTATACAAGAGTCACCAACACGTGGACCTGGACCCAAGCTGCGGTGTAGCTAGCCTGGTGGTCACGTAGCTAGTTATGTTGTAACTAGTGCAGTTAGCCTGGTGGTTACGTAGCTAGTTATGGTGTAACTAGTGCAGTTAGCCTGGTGGTCACGTAGCTAGTTATGTTGTAACTAGTGCAGTTAGCCTGGTGGTTACGTAGCTAGTTATGTTGTAACTAGTGTAGCTAGCCTGGTGGTTACGTAGCTAGTTATGTTGTAACTAGTGTAGCTAGCCTGGTGGTTACGTAGCTAGTTATGTTGTAACTAGTGTAGTTAGCCTGGTGGTTACGTAGCTAGTTATGTTGTAACTAGTGTAGTTAGCCTGGTGGTTACGTAGCTAGTTATGTTGTAACTAGTGTAGCTAGCCTGGTGGTTACGTAGCTAGTTATGTTGTAACTAGTGTAGCTAGCCTGGTGGTTACGTAGCTAGTTATGTTGTAGCTAGTGTAGCTAGCCTGGTGGTTACATAGCTAGTTATGTTGTAACTAGTGTAGTTAGCCTGGTGGTTACGTAGCTAGTTATGTTGTAACTAGTGTAGTTAGCCTGGTGGTTACATAGCTAGTTATGTTGTAACTAGTGTAGTTAGCCTGGTGGTTACGTAGCTAGTTATGTTGTAACTAGTGTAGTTAGCCTGGTGGTTACGTAGCTAGTTATGTTGTAACTAGTGTAGTTAGCCTGGTGGTTACGTAGCTAGTTATGTTGTAACTAGTGTAGCTAGCCTGGTGGTTACGTAGCTAGTTATGTTGTAACTAGTGTAGCTAGCCTGGTGGTCACGTAGCTAGTTATGTTGTAACTAGTGTAGTTAGCCTGGTGGTTACGTAGCTAGTTATGTTGTAACTAGTGTAGCTAGCCTGGTGGTCACGTAGCTAGTTATGTTGTAACTAGTGTAGCTAGCCTGGTGGTTACGTAACTAGTTATGTTGTAACTAGTGTAGTTAGCCTGGTGGTTACGTAGCTAGTTATGTTGTAACTAGTGTAGCTAGCCTGGTGGTTACGTAGCTAGTTATGTTGTAACTAGTGTAGCTAGCCTGGTGGTTATGTAGCTAGTTATGTTGTAACTAGTGTAGTTAGCCTGGTGGTTACGTAGCTAGTTATGTTGTAACTAGTGTAGCTAGCCTGGTGGTTACGTAGCTAGTTATGTTGTAACTAGTGTAGCTAGCCTGGTGGTTACGTAGCTAGTTATGTTGTAACTAGTGTAGCTAGCCTGGTGGTTACATAGCTTGTTATGTTGTAACTAGTGTAGTTAGCCTGGTGGTTACGTAGCTAGTTATGTTGTAACTAGTGTAGTTAGCCTGGTGGTTACATAGCTAGTTATGTTGTAACTAGTGTAGTTAGCCTGGTGGTTACGTAGCTAGTTATGTTGTAACTAGTGTAGTTAGCCTGGTGGTTACGTAGCTAGTTATGTTGTAACTAGTGTAGTTAGCCTGGTGGTTACGTAGCTAGTTATGTTGTAACTAGTGTAGCTAGCCTGGTGGTTACGTAGCTAGTTATGTTGTAACTAGTGTAGCTAGCCTGGTGGTCACGTAGCTAGTTATGTTGTAACTAGTGTAGTTAGCCTGGTGGTTACGTAGCTAGTTATGTTGTAACTAGTGTAGCTAGCCTGGTGGTCACGTAGCTAGTTATGTTGTAACTAGTGTAGCTAGCCTGGTGGTTACGTAGCTAGTTATGTTGTAACTAGTGTAGTTAGCCTGGTGGTTACGTAGCTAGTTATGTTGTAACTAGTGTAGCTAGCCTGGTGGTTACGTAGCTAGTTATGTTGTAACTAGTGTAGCTAGCCTGGTG